TTCCCTTGTACTTGTGAACTGGTACTTCAGTTCTGTAAAAATGGTGTTTTGTAAAGGATTCACAGTGTTTCATTTTGAAGTTGACCTGAAGCTGCTTATGAATGGTGGATGGTATACACAGAATTTAGAATATGATTAATTTTTATGCTGTGAATTACAAATAAATTTGATTTGGAATACATTTAAGCATCTAAATTTAACAGATGAGCACTTTGTGTCAGAAGACAGGAATAGTGAAAAATATATCAGTTTTAAGATACATTCTTTCATATATTATGCTTTATGAGTTTATCTTGGAAAAGAAGAGTTGAAACTCTTACTTCTGCAAAAATTAACTTTACAAAGTGAAGTCATGATCTTTCTCTGCTATTTTTCCTCTTTTCAGCAGAGTAGTTTTATTTTAGGTTGCATGATCTGTTTAAAAGAAAGCTTACTATTTATGTCTAATATGAAGAGTTTAAAATCATTATTTCTGAAATTGAACTTTCATGAATATTGAATGTCATGAAATACTTGTTTGCTTCTGATGAAATCTTGCTCCAGTGAAGTCAGTGGCAGTAAGGTTTCATCCATTTGTTTTTGTAATTTTCAGAAAAAAACCTGTTTACCACTCATAAGTACAAATGCAGCCAGAAGTTTTGGTTGGAATGTGTTATGTGAGGCACATTGTCTTTTAACTCTGTTATTTGTGAGAAGATTGAATCAGTTCTGTGTGCGCGTGTGTGTGTGTATGTGTGTGTATATTGCACTTTGACATGCTCCAGTGGTGGTTATTTCAAGAAGAGGTTTAAAAAAAGAAAAAGGAAAGAAAGAAAAGTTTCTTCTCGGTCATCTCACAATCTCAGAAGCCCTGGCAGTTCATGCTGGCGTGATTGAGAAGGCTCTTACCCCTAAATGATGTTCTTTCTTCTTGTGAAACGGAAGCCCTGAAACAGAAGTGGTGGACCAGGTGGTGTGTCTAGTCCTCAGGCATTCCTCTTCCCAGCCAGCTGTGTTGGGATCAATTGGTTTCATTCTGGTAATGCACCGGGCTGCGCACTGCAGCTGATGAGAGCTTTGCTTTGTGATCTCTGTTGGATTTAGCTGTGGCAGTTGAGGTAATTTTCAGTAGGTATAATCTTTTTAATCACTGCTGCTAAATCCAATAAGAATCATGAATTGGATCCCACAGAAATCATTTTATTTGTAAATGCGCATTTCCCATTGATTTAAAATAGCAGGAAAATAACAATTCCTTTAGTTATGTTTAGACTAGATGCAAACTGTAAGTATTTTTAAAACAAGCAAACCTTCTTATTGAAGAAGCAGTTTAGGGGGGGAGAATTAACCCTGTAGTTTCAGTACAAAGCGTAGGAAATTAATTACTTCTGAGCACTTGGAGGGGGATAAAAGATACTTCTGTTCAGCATTTAACAAAATTATTTGTTATGGATGAGATTGACTAGGGCTTTTAAGCACTTCAATGATACACAAAAGTAACAGTCATAACTGGTATTTAGGACAACTGTACATTTCATAAGAAGCATAAACTGTCTCTAGGCAACACAGAGCTAGTCCACATCTGCTTCCAGATTCTTTTGCAAAGTGAAGAATCAATAAATAAATGATCATAGAATCTGTAATTTACTAAACACGAAGGAAATCTTTATAAGGATGTAGTATAGATATGGCGTATTTATTTTGTCTGTTTCCCTCATTAGAAAATAAATATCTTTAACTCATTTCCATTCAGCTTTTAAATTCCATGAGTTTAAAAAATGAAAGTTATTCTTAAACTAAAGTGTCCTAATTTGTTGTGTCATAGCCCACATGTTTTGTTGTATCTTTATGGGCTTGTAGTCCTTTTATAAATAAATTCATGGAGATGAAACTCCAAAACTTAAAGCCTGTAACTTGTGAGGTTATTTGGCCTTGCATGTTAATTTGCTTTTCAAAACTGTCTAAAGAACAGGGAAGTAAATTTGCAAGATATTTCAGATTTT